ATCGATGCCTCTCCGTCTCTGGATCTGTCCTTGTTCATCAGTTTATGTTGTTCATTATATTCCACAAATGAGTGACATCATGTGGTATTTATCCTTCTCTGACTGGCTTATTTCACTTAGCATAATGCTCTCCAGTTCCATCCATGCTGTTGCAAATGGTAAGAACTTTATGGAGAACTTTGAATAAGATCAACCAAATATTGAGAACCCAGAAAGGAAGATGAATGGGAAAAGGGAACAACAATTTGTTGAGTTTCCATGTGTCAGACTTTACAGTAAGGAATTTACATATGTTGCTTCAGTTTATCCTTAAAATCACACCAAGAGATAGGTATTATCAGCCCCATTGTACTCATGAGGACACTGATCACAGAGGTTGAGCTACCAACCTCAGATCATAGAGTTCCTAAGTTATAGAACTGAGACTCAAACCCAGGTCTGACTTAGTTGATTTCATTCTGCTTCCTCCATTAAAAAAGGATTTATTCACTAAAACTTGTTGAATGCGTAATGTATTTGAAGCTGTGGGCTAGGTACTTTATTAAAATAGCTCTATTGCAATATAACTCACATTCTATACAATTCATCCATTTGAAATGTAGAATTCAATGATTTTTCGTATACTTGCAGATATGTGCAGCGACCATCCTGGTCAACTTTAGAACATTTTTACCAGGTGCTACAAACTCTTAAGCCATTTGCAGTGGTTCTCAACCTTCCTAATGCCGAGACCCTTTAATACAGTTCCTCATGTTGTGGTGACCCCGATTTCATTGTTACAAATTGAACATAATTAAAGCATAGTGATGAATCACAAAAACAATATGTAATTATATATGTGTTTTCCCATGGTCTTAGGCGACCCCTGTGAAAGGGTCGTTCGACCCCCAAAGGGGTCGCGATCCACAGGTTGAGAACCGCTGATTAGAGCATTTGGCAGGCTGAAGGGGGTTGAGGGTGAAGAGATGGTAAAACATCTTCAGGTTTTTCTAAGAGTGTCTTATTGTCAGGATTGATTGTGTGTTGATTATGTATTAGGAAAAGCTAAACATAAGATATAGAAGTAAGGTGAGTTTTTCTTACAGAACATACAGTCGAGTTTGCTGGAAACACTGTATCGCAACCGATCTAACCTGGAGACCATTTTTAGGATGATAGACAGTGATCATTCAGGTAAAGGCACTCATTTTCCTGTCATTTCGGACACAGCAAATATTTTACCTCCCACCCTTTGGTCTTCTTCCTGAGTATGTGGCTCTCTACTGAAGCCCTTTGGAAGCCCAGGAAGTAATGGCAATGCTTATAAATGGCAGAAACCAGAAAAGTACTTGCACAATACCAGCAGTCTATATAGGAGAGGGCTTGGGCAGAGAAGAATCCAGACCAACTGAATGAGAACTTCTTATAGGGAGAATGATAATTAGTAGATGAGAGCAGGTGTTCTTGTAAGAATGTCAGAGGAAAATGAACCTTGAAAACAGACTTCCTTTTCTCTGGTAAGGGTTCATCTCACTGGACGAGTTCAGACAGACTTGGAAGCTGTTCAGCTCCCATATGAAGATGGACATCACAGACGACGGTATCTGTGACCTTGCCCGGAGCATTGACTTCAACAAGGACGGCCACATTGACATCAATGAGTTCCTGGAGGCCGTCCGCCTCGTGGAGCAGTCCTGCTCAGAGGGAGACGCCGCAGATTGCCCACAAGCCACCAACACTCAGGGCAGTGGCTCCTGGCCTGCCACTGAGGACAGCCTGGTCTCTGTTACCCAAGTTGCCTCATAAGCGATGCCAAGCGATATCACTGGAATAGCTTCCTTATTCTCCATACATTTGTGAAACTTTATGCTGAGAATTTGCCAGCTAACATGCCTCAGAATCACCTTTGTATTTGAGGGTGCAGGGTGGTGTGCGTGTGTGTGTGTGTGTTGTATTTTTAAACATATAGGTGACATAGCCTATGTATTTAGAATTTTCACAAGGTGGGACCCAAGTATTAGTATCTTTAAAGTCTGAAGCCTACCCCAGTTATGAATCACTGATAATTCAACTCCCTCATTGTTTCCATTTTCACCTTTTATTTATTACTTTTAAAATGTCATATTGGTAAAGGAAAGTCATGAAAAATTATTTATGTAATCCCATGACCTAAACATATGGATTCTTTTTATTACTTTTTCTTATTATAACTATAGTATTACATAATTGAATGTTCTGCTTTTTTTTATAAATCCACACCTAATTATAAATACTTTCCTATGTTACTACATAGTCCTCATGATTACTAGTTTAATGGCTGCATAATTTTCTTTCCAATGGATGCACTATAGTCTAGTCAGCCATTCTTCAATTGTCCAACATGTGTATTGTTTCAGTTTTCTTTTATTATAAGTAACACTGTGGTTAATAATTTTATGCACATAGCTTCTTCTACAAAAATCTTTTAAATTATACATTTTCTTAGGATCAAATTCCAGGAATGGGGTTACTTTATCAAAGGGTGTTGTATTTGTCTATAAAGAGATTTACTATTTAAAAATTGGCCCATATGGCTATGAGTCTGAGAAGTCCCAAGATCTGCAGTTAGCAAGCTGGAGACCCAGGAGAGCTGATGGTGTGTTCCCAGTCTGAGTCCACATCCAAAGGCAGAAGAAGACAACGTCCCAGCTCAAAGACAGTCAGGCAGAGAGGGAATTCTTTCTTACTCAGCCTTTTTGTGCTATTCAGACCTTCAAGGAGTTATATGAGGCCTTTACTCACTTTACCAATTCAAATGTTACTCTCATCCAGAAACACCCTCACACGTGTACCCAGAAATAGTGTTTAACCAATATCTGGGCACCCCATGATCAAGTTGACATCTGAAATTAAGCATCACAGGTGTGAATATTTTTATGGCAGTTTGCTTTTCAGAACTGAGTACACCCGTTTCACCATAAATTCACATGTTTTGGGTGTGATCATAAGCTCCCCCTATCAGTTCCCCTTAGGATCTCCCCTATCTGATTAATGTCAATTTCATTTTGCCAGTTTCCTTATTTTTAAACAGAAAACAGAAGCTTGACTTCTCTCCTTTCCGTATTTCCCATATCTAATCCATCAAGCAAATTTGTTGGCTTTACCTTCAAAACACCTACAGAATTTAACATCTTCTTATTTCTCCTTTGCTAACTCTCTAGTCTAAGCCATATTGCCTCCCCACTTCCTCCTTTACCTATATAGCAGGATTATCAAACTTTTTGATCGCAAGATGCTTTTATACTCTTCAAACTTATTGAGGATCCCAAAGAGCTTTTGCTTATGTGGGTTATATCTGTTGATGTTTTCTATATTAGAAATTGAAACAAAAATATATAAGATACTTATTAATCAAGTTAAAATAATGTATCTATCACATATTAACATAAATAACTTTTTTGAAATAATTATAGATTCATAAGAAATTGAAAGATAATACAGAGATCTCATGCTCCTATCACCCAGCTTCTCCCAGTGGTGATATCTTACTTAACTCTACTGCATTATCAAAACCAAGAAATTGATAATAAATAACATATTTTAAAGAAGATTAATAAAACAAAAAAAATTAGTGAGAAGAGTGGCATTGTTTTACACATTTGCAAATACCTTTCATGACTGTCTTTTTAAAAAAAAAATTTATTGATTTCAGAGAGAAAGGGAGAAGGGGAGAGAGAGAGAAACATCAATGATGAGAATCATTGATTGGCTGCCTCCAGCAGGTCCCCTACTGGGGATTGAACCCACAACCCAGGCATGTGCCCTTGGCCGGAATCGAACCTAGGACTCTTCAGTACGTAGGCCAATGCTCTATCCACTGCGCCAAACCAGCTAGGGCCATGACTGTCTTAATAAAAGATTTTTACATCTGTTTTTGCAATCAATCAACTATTATATATTTTGTTGGTTAAAGTATATGAAAAAATTGAGCCTCATACAGACATGTAGTTGAAAAAGGATGGAGTATTTTAATAGCTCTCTCAGATAATTGTGGATATTCTTTTTGATACTATAACAGTGATGGCAAACCTATTACATGCGTGTCAGAGGTGACACACGAACTCATTTTTTTGGTTGATTTTTCTTTGTTAAATGGCATTTAAATATATAAAATAAATATCAATAAATAAATATAAAAAATATAAGTCTTTGTTTTACTATGGTTGCAAATATCAAAAAATTTCTGTATGTGACACGGCACCAGAGTTAAGTTAGGGTTTTTCAAAATGCTGACACACTGAGCTCAAAAGGTTCACCATCACTGTTATAGTATCAAAAAAAAATCCACAATTATCTGAAAGAGCTATTAAAGAGTTCGCCATAACTATACCAAAAGTTGACAAGTGGTAATGTAGAAATGGGGAATTTGAAATCATACAATTAAAATATTTATGCTGTCAATACCATACAGCCAAAGATCACCAGGAACACACCTGTAATTGAACAAAGTTAGGTTTGTTGAATGTTGCAGCCCAGCTAATAGCAGCCCCAGCTGGTAGCATATGGAGAACAATCACCAAGCGGAGCCCACAGAATTGTGCAATATAATTCTACTAGAGGCCCGGTGCATGATGTTTGTGCACTCGGGGTGGGGCGGGGGGAGTCCCCTTAGCCCGGCCTGTGCCCTCTTACAGTCTGGGACCCCCTCGGGGGATGTCTGGCTGGCGATTTAGGTCCTTAGTGCTGCCTCAAAGGCAGGAGAGGCTCCCGCCACCACTGCTGCACTCGCCAGCCATAAGCCTGGCTTCTGGCTGAGTGGCGCTCCCCATGTGGGAGCGCACTGACCACCTGGGGGGGTGGGGTGGGGGGGCGGTCTGCCCCCTGGTGGTCAGTGCGCATCATAGAGACCTCGCGTCTGCCCCCTGATGGTCAGTGCACATCATAGAGACCTCTTGTTCCACCATTTGGTCAATTTGCATATTAGCCTTTTATTATATAGGATAAATGGTTATTGTTGCTTTAAGCCACTAACTTTTGGGATAATTGGTTACACAGCATTAAATGATCCAAAACATTGATAATCCAAGAAATTAAAGTTTAGCTGTGATAATCAAAATTGAAGGATAATTTCAGGATGGGCTCATACTTCCCAGAAACATTGTTTTCAGAGAATATGCTAATACATGTAGTCATGAAAGTCTTCCTGTTTGGGGATTTTTTTTTCATAAATCTGTGTGTGTGTGTGTGTGTGTGTGTGTGTGTGTGTGTGTGTTTAAGTAATTACTGCTGCTGCTGGATATAGAACTCACATGCAGGTATAATTAGGGTTCCATGTATCTCTAAGGATCATTGCTTTATTTATTTATTATTATTTTTTAATACTCACCTAAGGATATTTTTCCATTGATTTTTAGAGAGAGGGAAAGACAGAAATATTGATGTGAGAGAAACACATCAATTGGTTGCCTCCTGCACACTCCCTGACCAGGGCCCGGGCCAGGGAGGAGCCTGCAACCAAGGTACATGCCCTTGTCCGGAATTGAACCTGGGACCCTTTGGTCTGCAGGGTGACACTCTATCCACTGAGCCAAACTGGCCAGGCAAGAATCATTGCTTTAAATTTGAATGTTTATTTTTGTAGAACTCAAAACCTCCTTCTTATCAGTATTTTAATGATGAAAAGAAAAGCATAAAGTTCATAATCTCTGGGTTTATGTCTCAAAATATTTCCCAGAGACTCTTAAGATTTATAAGGAACTTTCGACATTGAGTACAATCTCAAGACCACTTTGCTTGCAGGTGTCCTCTGGAACGCTCCAGGAAGAACATCGCTGCTCCTACAGACAGCCTGGTCCCGATTCAGGAGAGAGACACGTGTTGGAAACTTTTCATTCTTATCAAGCATCAGCCTGCTATGAGAATCTGAGTCAGAGGTTTGGATTTCAGTTCCGGCTGTGGGGTCTGTGAGGTCATCTGAGCTATGGAAGCCACACTGAGCTCCCTGAACCTCTGCCCTTCAGGAGGCAGGGAGAGGCCTTGACTACCAACACAGATGTGTTGATTCTGGGGGCTAATGAACACAAAAACAAAGAATTTCTTGACATATCTTAGTCTTAAACTAAATGATACAGACCTAAATTTCTCTTTTTTTTTTTAAAGAAAATTTTATTGATTTTTTACAGAGAGGAAGGGAGAGGGATAGAGAGTTAGAAACATCAATAAGCTGCCTCCTGCACACCTCTTACTAGGGATGTGCCCGCAACCAAGGTACATGCCCTTGACCGGAATCGAACCTGGGACCTTTCAATCAGCAGGCCAACGCTCTATCCACTGAGCCAAACTGGTTAGGGCAGACATAAATTTCTTTATTACCCACTAATATAAACTGTTTTTCCCAGATAAAGATCATTTTAGGCAGATTAGATTCATTATTATATTTAATTTTAAGCTGTTTCAAATGTACTCGGTTTCTTTTAAAAAAAAAACCCTCTATTTTTCTGGTATCTTATGGATTATTATATTTAATTTTAAGCTGTTTCAAATGTACTCACTCGGTTTCTTTAAAAAAAAAAAAACAACCCTCTATTTTTCTGGTATCTTATGACAAATGAAATTGGTTTTTCAATTACAGTATTGAGGTAGTGTTTTCTTTAAAAATAAGTTTCCAGAACTTGAGAAACATCCTTGTACATAAAGTCCAAAACTCTATACTGTAGCCTGTGGTTATTTCTACAGTTTCAAATTTGCACTGCTTCCCAAACCCTTTCTTGCTACTTGGGTCTTCCCACAGTCCCCCAGTTGTACCATTCCTTTCACATCCTGGTTCCTGTGCTGAATTGCCCTCCCCCTGGTTGGGTTGGCCTCATTCTTCCAGACTCAGCACAAATGCCTTCTCCTCTGTGAAGACTTTTCTTGACCTATCTGCTCCCCACTTCCTCCCCTTGGCCACTGCTTGCCTGGGTTCCTTCCAGTGAGCCTGGTGGTGACTGACCTGCATGCCAGTCTCCTTCTCTGGTCTGTGAGCTCCCTAATGACAGAGAGCAGGTTTCATGTCCTGCTCTCTCCACAATTTGCCATTTGTCATGGTCAACTGTCCAGGTGCACAGCTTGGCACTCCATACATATCATTTGAGTATGATGAATATTCAATGAATATTAATAAGGGTAAAAAATGTATCCTTGTTTCTTTTTTATTGATTTCAGAGAGAAAGGGAGAGAGAGAGAGAGAAACATTAATGATGAGAGAGAATCATTGATAGGCTGCCTC